CCACATTTTAGTCCTTTTCGCTCCAAATTTGCTCCTTTTTACATCTTTTGCTCCATTGACCCATCATTCCTACAACAAAACATCAAAAATACCTTTCTTTAAAGTGCAATATCATTAAAAACAGTATAAAATAGGTATGAAAATCTCAACATATTTTCCTTTGGTCAGGTTCCAAAGTATTTGGATCAATATTCATGTGCCCTACATCAGTATTATCACTTAGTAGGAAAAATTTATTGGGCTCATCTCGATAACGTGAATCTCTAGGGTTGTCTCACTAGTCTTAAGGCCCCCTTCCTTTTAGTTCTCCAGGTCAAACTGCTCTTGCTCTATGCTTCCTATCACCCAGAGGTAGCCAACTCACTACTGCTTTAATTCTCCTATTACAGTGATCGCTTCCCTGTCTCTCTAAAACTTGACCATAGCGTGGTAGGTCGACACCATGGCTTGAAGCGATTCAGTGGTGGTTGGTCGAAGATGGCATTATAAGTAGTATGAGAGCCCACTATCAAAGAATCATCAATCTCTGTGAACTACTTCTCATCGTCTCCCCAGGCAACTGCTGTTGAAATTACATCCAGAGCTTCCTTTTCACTTGAAAAGTCATACAGTGCGTCAGTTAGTCTGAAGGTTAAGCTTATTGAACATTGACTTTTCACAAGAACATCATCGATGTAGACTTCAATATTTTTTTCCTTTTTTATTAGCAAGGATTACACACATTAAACTTTGGTACTTTGTCCTAACATCTTTAAGCCCTAAGGCCATTATATTATAATAAAAAATTCCTTCAGAAGTAATAAAGGTTGTCTTCTCAACGTTAGCTGGAGAAAGCTTACATGAAGCTCATCATGGGGTGACCCACAATTGCATCCACCAAGGTTTCGATCCTCAGCAGGGGTAGAAGTCCTTCAGGCAGGCAGTGTTCAAGCTCATAAAGTCTGTGTACATCTGCAATTTTTTGTTAGCTTTCTAGACCATGATGATGTTTGAGACCTAGATCGAGTATTGCACCTCCCGAATGTACCATGGTTTCAACAGCTTCAACACCTCCTCTCTAATGGGCTCAGCCAGTGCAGTCATTTGAGTTCTTGATCTTTTACTTGAATGGTTGGATGGTGAGGCTCATGTTCAGCCTATTTTAGGCGAGATCAACCGACATCCCTGACATCTCTGTAGTGAACCAAGCAAAAACATCACAGTGGTTCCAAAGTATTTGGATCAATATCCATGTGCCCTACGTCAACATTATCACTTAGTAGGAAAAATTTATTGGGCTCATCTCAGCAGTGCGAATCTCCAAGGTTGTCTCGCTAGTCTCAAGGACCCCTTCCTTTCAGTTCTTTAGGTCAAGGTGCTCTTGCTCTATGCTTCCTATCACCCAGAGGTTGCCAACTCACTACTGCTTCAGTTCTCCTATTACAGTGATCACTACCCTGTCTCTCTAGAACTTGACCGTAGCGTGGTAAGTCAACACCACGACTTGAAGCGATTCAGTTGTGGTTGGTCAAAGATGGCCTGATAAGTAGTAGGAGAGTCCACTATCAAAGAATCCTCAATCTCTGTGAACTACTTCTCACCTTCTTCCCAGCAACTGCTACTAGCATTACATCCAGAGCCTCCTTCTTTTCACTTAAAAAGTCATATAGTGGGTCAGTCAATTTGAAGGTTAAGCTTATTGAATACTGACTTAACCAAAATGATCACAAAACTGCCAATGTCAATAAGAATATTTCTCACTTGGAAATTGTTGATTATCTCTGTTATAATGATTGCTTCGTTAAAGAGGTTCCCCTATTGGGGGCATATCATCGTATGTGAATGTGACGATAGGGTAACTCCAGTGCTCTGCACGGATGCAAGGTTAAACAATTCCCTAGTCATGGACCTCTTTTGGGGGCTTTGCAGAAGGACTCAATTCCTCTCAAAATGTTCTAGATAATCCTGACAATATGGATGACATTCGTCTTAACAGAGCCTGCTGCAGCTTCTATGGTCAGGGCTTTGTCATGCCTTTGACCTGCGTGTCCCTAGGCCATAAACTCCATCAGTATCCCCTCCTTGATCAACTCCTCACTGAGACTCTAGAGGTATTTTCACTCTTCTCTGTCGTGATTGTGATCTTGATAATACTTACAATACTTCTTTGTATCCAGGAGAAAACTTCTGACTCTCATTGGTGTGACTTCCTTGAAGTACACCTTCTCTTGGATGGCGTCCACTGAGGATGGGTTAACAAATTGAGTCAAGCTTGAGGCTCCCTCGACTTGAGCTTGAGCTTGATTAATTTTATTGAGTTCGATTTCAACCTCAAGCTTCAGTCTACGAGTTTGAGTCGGCTCATAAGCCGACTCGTTTATTATAAGAAATAAAATAACATTAATTTAAGCTAGATTGATAATAAGATGCCAATTAGAATGAATAATTAGGATGTAAATAATAATAAATCACCTAATATGCAGTAATAAATATTATTTTTTAAACATTTTTAAAACCTCAAAGATAAAATCTTGAAATTTTATATATTTTGATTATATTTCACATCAGTATTTTTCTAAAGGAGCCTACACACAAGCTAATGAGTCGAGTTGGGGCTAGCTTGAGCTTGTCGAGCTTAGTTCACAAGCCACTTATCGAGCTGAGCTCGAGCAGGCTCACGAATTGGCTTCACTAACATACACCTCTAACATCCACAATCTCCGTCATTGATACCCTCAGTGGGATAACCTGTGGGCCTTTAGACTCATCATATGGTTGCTCATAATGCTATGTCAGCCACTCACAGCACCGGACCGACCAAGGATCACAATTCCTCGCCTAACCTCCTTATTGGCTGTAAGGGTGTAAATTCGACTTAGTCGGGTTTGGCCAACCTGAAAAAGACTCAATCTGAATAGGATCAACCTAAACCTGACTTGAATAATAAACAGGTCCAAAACTAAGACTCGAACCTGACTCAAACCTGAGCTTGACCCTAACTCAAACCCAACCAAAACTTTTGTGCTCTTTTGGGTGTTGTTTTAGTTTTTGGGTTAAACCTGAACACAGCCGGAATAATAAAATAGTTAAATTCTCTGACCCGAACCCGGCTCAAAAAATATTTAGGTTAACCCTAACTTGGATTTTTTGAGTCATGTTTATGTCGTGTTAGCGTGTCGGGTCAATTTTTAACACCCCTAGCTAATTGCATTTATCAGACCTTTTGTTGTCACGAGAGGATTAAAAGTCTTTATACCAACATTTGACATTTGATATGTGGTCCTCCCTTGGCTTTAACCTGAAACTTGGAGGAGCCCATTTCTGTGTCTGACGTTCTTCAGATTCTCTATTGAGGGACATCTCCTTTGCGATGATGTGATTGTTGGTCATCTCCAATAGCTCGTACAAGTCTTTAAGGTCGTGCAAACTGAGGTCAAATGAAAACCTCTCGGACCTCAAGCCTTACTTCAGAGTAGCTTGGGCTGCATCAATTTGGAGGTCTTTCACCTCCAACATTTCCCTTTGGAAGCTTGAAATGAAAGTGCGTAGGCTCTTATGCTGACCTTGCTTGAGTTACCACAAGGGCTGCACGCCCTTGGTGAGTTTCTAGGTGTTGGCAAATTATGCAAAGAACAAGCTCTTGAAATCAGCGAAGTTGTCGGTGCTCCTAGTTCGAAGCGAGTGGAACCACTTCCAGGTTGATGACCTTAAAGTGGTAAAGAACATACAAAACTTGAATACATTTGAGATCTTGAGCAAGCACATAGTTGACTCAAATGAAGCAATGTGTTTGAATAGGTCCAACTGGCCCCTATGGATCTCCAAAGCTGGTAGTTTGAACTTTTTTGAGAGCTCGACTCCTAGGATTTGATGGGAAAAAGAGTTCTCTAATTATCATGGGCTTTAATGTGCCCATCTCGTTGCCTCTCCACTTGTGCTAATTCAACACTATCCTGATACTACGAGTCTTCAGCCCTCTCCGGATCGTGGTTCACTCTTTTGTCGTTGGGTTCTACTGCTCCTTCTTTGGGGCGGGGGAGGGTTCTGCTCTGCAGGGGGGTGGGGGCGACTTTCTCTCAGAGTTGTAACAACACTTTGGACTGCAACAATCTGGCCCGATAGCTAGTCAATTATTTGGGCCCTTATCTCTTACATTCCCTTTTGCATGAGCTCTTCTACCACTTCTCTTTTTTTTTCCTCGTTGGTTATTTCTCTCTGAGAAATCTCCTCTTGATGTGACTAATATGTTCCACTTCTTGTTGACGACATGACTCTACGATCACAACATATTTAGGATGTTAAATCCAAAATTGTCTGGGAGACAAGCCTAAGGAACAGAGGACAAAAGGGAGAGAGAGAGAGAGGAACAAAAAGAGCAAAAACACATCATAGAACAGTGAAATTGTGTAACCTTTATTCAAGAAATGAACCCCCTATTTATAGAAATAGGGGTACAATTACATTTTGTACCCTAAAATGCATAGATATGGCGGGGGTATTTTGGTAAGTATATAAATATAGGGTCGGGAGCCTAGAAAGGAACCTCGTTAGATGGGGTTGTGACCCTAAGAAGGCTCCGACCGAATAGGTTTGAGAGCCTGTGATGGCCTCCACCCAATCTTTTTTGGGTCAGGCGGCCAATCATTGGGGACCTGGAGAAACTAACAATTAGGCTTTCTTTTGAGGGCTTATGCTTGAAAGAACGGGTCGAGTAACTCCGACCAACTGCTTTGGACCCGGACAGTTTGGCTCGATCACCCGGTCCAGCTAGAGAAAAAGCTATCAGACTCTTACACATGAGCTTGTTTTGGTGGTCTTTTAGGAGAATGATTGAATTATGTCCTTCTAGAGATTATCTTCCTTCAGGCTTGTAGGAGTTAGCTGGCCAGGCGTGAGATTTTGGATCATTCCTGGCGCGTCTCAAGACACCACATCATCTCTTCTATCAGACTTCAAACTTTTTTAAGGTTCAAGCTTACACATTTTTTATGTATACTCATCATGCTATATTTTTCTAGCAGACAAACTTGGTATTCAAGGAAAAAAGGTCAAAGGAAACCGCGATTTGGAGGTACACTTTAACAATATATTTTTTATAACTCAATTATAACAAATGCAAGCATGAATCATGAATACATACAAATAAGTAAATTAACAACAAAATACTAAATCTACAAACAAATTAATGCCTAAAGTAAACCAGCTTACATAAATGTTTGTTATCAAGTTCATGATGATTGTTCTGCAACACATAAAGCATGATAAAACTCCATATTTGTAGGTTTGGTCGGGCTTACTTAGCGACGACAAGATTGCTATTGTGCTTTGGAACCGATTATCTTCACCAAAACCTATCACTGCATATTGGTCTGATATTTCTCTTCCTCCTTCAACAATTGTGGATGCTCGGGATCTCTGGGCAGTAAGATGCAAACCCAACACAAATTTTATTTCATCTTTCTTAGTTTTGCAGCATAATCATACAAATAATTTTGCCTGTTGCATCTCATTTTTGCAGCATTCAACCATTTCAGCAATTCAGGGAAAGCTGACGGCCATTGTGAATCCTCATGACTGCAAGATGTTTGTCTTAACGCCATGGAAATAATGCTTTAAATTTGTATTAATTATGGTTTCTAAAAACAATGGGAGTTTTAAATTGGATGAATTTACTGAAAAAAATTAGTAGATTGGATGCATGACTATCATTTCTATGAGAAGTGACATGGTAGCTGAAATATAGATTTCTATGGTGAAAAATGTATTTATATTTTTATAGATAACTTTTAAATTGATAGCATTCATGAAGTTTAAAAATAAAATAATATTTTTCTTTTTAAGAAATACTTAATTTTAGTGATTTAGACAAATGTTGCCTCAATTTACAATTTTTTGCAATGTTAGTCCAATAAATATTGATTTGCAATAATAGTAAATTTATTTTTATAATTTAATGTATTAATTTGTTACAAAGAAGGCACTTCTATCGTGCATCCATGGTTTTACGGGCTATTAATTTGCCCCTCCTGTAATATAATTAAAATTTGATGTGTCACCAAGAAATTTATATAATCCTTGAATATGAGAAATTTGTATAATTTGGCATGAATCGCGGCGCATTTTGGGTAAGAGAACTTCCAAGTTTGAATTCAAGATCATCTAAGCTCTGATTTCAAAAAAAAAATTTAGTTAAACTAAGCACCTCAACATTCAAGGCCTAATTTCTGCTAAAATTCTATTTTTTAAGAAATTTGAATTTCAATATTGACACAAGATGTTTGGGTGGACTTTTACTATTTGGGCAGTAAATGTCTAAACATAGACCAATATTCATCTTTGATTTAGGATACATGTGAGAGTTGTCCTTTTGAATCAAAGTACAATTAATCTTAGGGGGATTTGACTTGATATATTTTATACAAGTTAATAACGTCCAGTAACACTCCGACAGACAACCTCAGATAAATAAATTATTCTTAAAGAATTTTTTATTACCTCTTATGTGCGGGTTAATTTCATTGATTAACACTCGAACAAATAGTTTTAGATAGGTCAAACATCCTTGATGGATTTTTTATAATATTTATTTTAAAAATCAACGTCATCAAGTAATACGCCGACAAACTGTCTTGAATGGGTCAAACATCCTTATCAAAATTTTTATGACCTATATTTTACAAGTTAACATCGTCAAGTAACACTTCGACAAACATTCTCGAATAGGCCAAACATCCTTAATGGATTTTTTATGACGTTCTTTTGTAAAAGTTAACATTATGGAGTAACGCTCCAATAAATAACCTCAAATAGATTAAGCATCCTCAATTAAATTCTTACAGTCACTTCTGCACCATTTAACGTCATTGAGTAACACTCCTGCAAATAACCTTGGATAAGTGAATTAAACATTCTTAGTAGGTTTTTATGACCTTTTCTATACAAGTTAACTTTATGGAGTAAAACAATGAAAAACAACTAAAGATTGGTCAAACATTCTCATTAGATTTTCTATTACCTCTTAAATGTAGGTTAACATCATCAAACAACAACTCGACAAATAACTTTTGATAAGTCAAACCATTCTTAGTGAATTTTTTATGACCTTTTCTATATAGGTTAATATCGTCAAGTGATACTTCGACAAATAAGTCAAAGAATATTAGTAGATTACTTACATCCTCTTCAATATAGTTTAAATCTGACAAATAATCTCATTAGGTGAAATATCCTTACTGGAATTCTTATGACCTCTTCTACGCAAATAATCTTATATAGGTCAAACATCCTTATTAAATTAACTCATTGAGTAACACTCCTGCAAATAACCTTGGATAAATGAATTAAACATCCTTAGTAGATTTTTTATGACCTCTTCTATACAAGTTAACTTTATGGAGTAAAACAATGATAAATAACCTAAGATAGGTCAAACATTTGCAATAGTTTCTATTACCTCCTATATATGGGTTAACATCATCAAACAACACACTATTAGTTGTCAAATAAATTCAGGTAAGACAAAACATTATTAGTGAAATTTTTATGACATGTTTTATATAAGTTAATATAGCCAAATGATACTTCCGCAAATCACCTCAAATAAGTTGAACAACATTAGTAGATTTCTTACGTCCTCTTCAATATAGGTTAAATCAAACAAATAATCTCATATAGGTATAATATCCTTATTGGATGTCACGTGGCCTCTTCTATTCAAAATAACATTGTCAAGTAACACTCAAACAAACAATCTCCAATAGAACAAGGTTTCTTAATAGATTCTTACAACATCTTATATATTGATTAATCATGTAGAGTAACACAATGATTAAAAACTTCAGATAGGCCAAACATTTTTAATGAATTTTTTTAAAACTCATATGCCAAATTATTGTTCGAAATTACTCTGAATTGTTTTATCAAAATATCAAAAATACCAAAAAGATTTGAATTTTAATTACTGCAAATACATCTCTAGTTTAAGTAATTGCCTTTTTAAAACAGAAAGTTTGTTATTCAATAGAGCATATTGCATAATTTTCATGTGGGTTCGATATTTAGGTCTTAATCAAAAAGTCATATTTTACTTGATAATGATACGTATACTTGCATAGTATCTCAATATATATATAAATTGAAAAGTTAAATTCTTATTTTCTTCAGAATCAAGTTTTGACTCCGTTGCAAAGTAAGAAAATATAAGTGAAAATATAATCAAAGACATTGTTATACTGTTGCATATAAACAGTTGGGATCAAGTTTTTGGCATCGTTGTTGGGGATTAAAATTTTCAAATAGTGGTGTCAACTTCATAAATTCTACATATAAAAAAATATCGAGATCATTTACCTTAGTGCTTTTGAATCTAGGGTCATTATCAGATTTGACTTGATGAGGGACACCAACTTGATATATGATATGATTCTTAAAAAATTGTAGTACATAGTGATCTTTTATTTCTTTTAGAGGAATGTCCTCCAACCACTTTAAAAAAAAATTAGTAGCTGCCAGTATGAACCTAATCCTTGAATGCAAGAGGGTCAATAAGTCCCATGATTTATATTCCAAAACACTCAAAGGGCCACGAGACAATCATGGAATGTAACAAATTGGCGACTGATGTAATACTGCACCAGGTGTTTGGCATTGGTGACAATGATGTGTGGTTTTCATACAATCATTAATCATTTCTTACCAATTCTTCCCATTATAATATTCTTGGCTTTCAACTTATGGACAAATTGGTGAGCATGACATTGTCCAACATGTATTTGTATAATAATATTATGGCTTTGTGCTTATTTAAGCATCATAAATACATACAATTGAAAGATTTGTGGTATAGTGTATCATCTATGATGATATAAAATAATTTTCTGGACTTCACTTGATGGGCTAAGGGTTTTGTTTGAGGTAGTTCGCCTTCTTGTGGGTAATCTACAAATAGTTGGCTTCAATTTTTCAATTTCTTGACAATAATGATAGCAAAATAGCATTTGATTTCGTGTCCATAAACAAATTCCATATCAATTGGTGGGCAAAAGAATATGACACCCTTGAATTTCAATCAACAAAGATTCCTCTTCTAAACATGTTACTTCTTTAGCCAGCCTCACCAAAGCATCCATGATGGTGTTGCTACCATAGGTTATTCATTATAAGGTGGCATTTGATATTTTTTCAAGTAGCTTCATGATCTACAGTTAGTATTGATGGAGTTATGGTTTGAAGATTTTTTATGTTCAAGTAATCTAGCTAATCACAAACTTTAAATCTTTGAATATTTTAATCTTTTGAATTTTTATTAGCATTGTCAACTCCAAACCAGTAATTAGAGCTTTGTACTCTACCTTATTGTTGGTACATGGCCCTGATAGATGATATGAAAACCTCAATGTCCCATGATCTGGGGTCTGGGTTTATAAATATCAATCATATCCCAAGTTTGTTGAGGATAAATAATTGTATATTAATGTCCTTCTTGACAGATCAAGTACCATTGAAGTTGAATTCCAAATAGGGTTTATCAATTTTATCTTATTCTTTTATAGTAAGCATTTATTCATCAGCTAAATTGTTATTCAAAGGAGAGTCAACGAGCAATCGATGTGCCACCTAGAAATCATCTAAATCCTAATCATTGTTATCACGTAAGAGAAAAAAGGTTATATTAAATTACAATAATATCAGTAATCATCTTTCTAAACTTCTAGATAGTGTTGATGGGTAATCAAATATTATAAGGGATTAAACCTAAAAATAAGACTAACTTTACGAGAGAGCATATAGTGTCTTAACTTTTAGACTATAAAAAATAATGCCAGAAAATGCTTTTCAAATGGAGGATAACTCTTTTCAGCTGGGATAAAATGATGACTCAAGTAGTATTTCAAATTCTCCTTATATGCCTCATTAGTTTTGATTAATAAGACACCAAGTGATTTATCTAAAGCAAAAATATATAATATTAATGATTGGCTGAGATGGGGGACGTTGAGATTAGAAGTGTCGTTAAATATTACTTTCTGATTTTTATTAGTATTCATCGTCTCAGTAAAACTTGATGTTCTTTTTAGTTAAGGTAGAAAATAGTTGAAACCTACCAACAAGGTTGGGAATAAAGCATCTTAAGTATATCAGGCTTCCCTTGAAAGATCTTAATTTGTGTAGGCTTTTAGGTGGTGGTATTTCTAATATCAATTTAATTTTCTTTAGGTCAATTTCAATCCCACGGTGTCATATTATGAATTCTGAAAAATTTTTAGAAGTTACTTTAAAGGCACTTTTAATGGATTCATCTCACGATCGAATAAGCATAGATGCTCAAAAATAATTCTTAAGTCTTAAATGTGATCTTCCATTTGTTTACTCTTAATGACAATAGTATCAACATAACACACACCTTGTATGTGGACAAGCTCATAAAAAATCATGCTCATGACTTATTTTTAGGTAGCACCAGCATTCTTTAGCTCAAAAGACATGATTTTGTATCAATAAACTTCAATTGGGGCTCATAATGCAGTATGTCTCTCATCTTTAGAAGCTATTTTAATCTGATTATATCCAAGGACCCATTAATGAAAATTTTGCATGTGAGGATTTGAT